AAAAAAAAAAAAAAAAAAGCAACCGTGATGTGCGTATATATGCTGGAGAGAGAGAGAGAGAGAGAGAGAGAGAGAGAGAGAGAGAGAGAGAGAGAGAGAGAGCAAAGAGCCCTTTCACATTATTCATAAGACCTCTGCCGGTACTTCGAAAGGTCCCTGCCAAAAATTGGCAAGGATCCCATCGGCAAAGGGTGGTCACTGGACGGGTAGTCACTGGACTTGTAGTAAAGAGGGAGCAGGCCAGCTATATATGGTGTAGCTTCGAATTCAGGTCCACAAACTGGCATTGTGATTTTCAGGGCTTCACTACACTACTCACCAAATGTGCAAAACTAGAATGAATCTTCTCCTAGAAACTGGAACCATACAAGCCATATATTTTTCTTTTCTGCAAGTGCTGATGAGTGGAGCGAGGCCCTTAGGGCCACTGCACGTAGGAAAAGGAAAAACAAAAAAACGAGACAGCTACTGTAGTGTTCGTAGCAAGTTCGTAACTTCGTAACCCATAACTCTTGGAACACAGACCTGAATCCGAATCCAGGATATATTGCTGGCCTGCTCAAGGTCTGCCAGCAGTTCAATGGACATCCTTCCAATAGCATGGGAACCCTGCTGATGCTTTGCAGGGGACCTTTTGAAAAGGAGAATATATCCAACGAGTAGTACAAAGTGGGCCCAAAATATTATTTTTCTGTGCACTTACAATTTTCAAAAGGGAGGGACACTTATGGTTACCACGACCTACCTTTTTTTTTTTCGTAAATGCGCCACGCATGCGCTATGCGGCGCATGTGCGCAACTTGCGCGCACGTGATGGGCCGCATCTATGGTATTTTGGTGCATTCTTCCTTCTGTTCAGCACAAGACTATCTGGCTTCCAGCGTGATGATGCGCATTTTCCTTGCACACTACTGACCACATGCACAAAAGACAAGAATACGGTGATAATGGCAGTGTATCTTTCCATTTTCTAGTGGAAGATTCATTCTCATTTTCCACATTTGGTGAGCAGCGGAGCATAGTTTATCCTCTTTTAGAGGCTGGTCCCCCACAGAATTCAAACAAGGCACGTCTTACTCACACTAAGACTTTTTTTCTTACTTGTGGATGTAATTGCGGGTAGACGCATCCAAGTCCACCCATAAATGCCGTCGGGCACATTTAAGAAAGTGCTAGTGTGAGTACACCCTGATATATCTTCACATATCCAATTCAAAACTTGCTGGTCACATGACAAAACGACCTCTAGCCCAGTAGCTCTTATGGGGCTGGGCCCATACTATCCATTCTGAGGAGCAGCATTTTGGATACCCTCCACCCGCAAGTCAAGCAGAAGTGTACAGCAAATCAACCAAGCCCACTACCACTCCTTTCGTCGGTTGGTTGAATAAGAGAGCATACACTCACACTAAGACTTTTCAGGATGTTTCTTTGACCGCAACGACATCTACTCCTGGATGAATCTGATTGCATTTACATTCAGAAAAAAGTCCAAAAGTTCTCAGAAGGCTCTTTTTGCGACTCCATAAAAATATGTTTTTCTAAGTTTCTTCCTTTTTCTTTTTCATTTTGTTAGAGTAGCATTTTCTCATCTCACCTTGAAAATTCCCAATCCTCCTGATGTAGGTCAAGTTGTTCCTCGCTTTGTCGAGTTCGATGGATTCTGCAACAGATAGGCAAAAAAAAGAAAACAGTTGGCAAAGCCCACGAGGTAAGAGATAACCCCCGATAGTTTTTGGGAAAAAAACAAAAAATAGTGTTCACCTTAGCCCTCACTAGGTTTTGAGGGAACTTTTGACAATATTGCATCCAACAAACAGGATCTGAACTCTTGCTCTGTTTATCGACAGCCTCATGTGCATACACTGCAGCCGCAAGGCTGGGTGAACTCAGGTGGATCTATTTTATACACACTAGAAAAGCTGACCATTAGCTTAGTGCCCACGGTCAGGGTGTGAGGCAATGGCTGCACAAACAGAAAGGCAAAATGTCAGAAAAGTGTTCATTATGTAATTTCAAATTTGACTACACTGAAAGCTGTGTCCATGTCCCGAGTCCTGGTCCCAGGGTCCCATTAGGTCCCAGTCCCAGGGTGTTAGGAGTCCCGGGTAGAGCCTAGGAGTCAAAGCGCCGTAGTCCGGTAGGGCCTGGAACCGAAGGGTCACGGGTCGGGAGAAGTCCGACGATACCCGACAAGAGAAGTCCAACGCCAAAGCCCCAAATTGCAGCAGCGTCCCAGGATAGTCTGGAGACTTCGGGAACAACAAAGTGCATCTGACAGCCACCAGGCAACCGGTACAGGTGCGAAGAAGGCGAACAACTAGTCAAGGATCTGTTAATAGCTGCTACAGTAACTCACCGGTTCGGTTGTTCATTCCAAGTTGCAGGAGCACTGCTGGAGGCTTGTGTGACAGTGCGACTTACCAAACTCGATGCGATTTATCGAAGATCTGCACCGACACTTGAGGAAGAAGGCGCCATAGCTAGGGTAGTGGGAGGAGGAAGAGGGCAGCCATAGCCGTACTAGCTAGGGGGAGTAGAAGAGGGTGTACTTAGGGAGGGACTACAAGAGTTAGAGAGAGAGAGGGAGACAAATGATACAAGAGCCGAGAGTCAAGGAAACATGAGAGGAGAGAAAGAGAGAGAGAGTCGAGGTACTCAATTGGGGTGTTGAGCAAGGGACGAGTGTGGCCATAGCCGCTGGGCGTTCATACTCTTTCCTTGTGTGATGACCTGACCAAACACGGACTGAGACACACAGCTGATTTCTGGGTTTTGCCCATGGACTGGATGCCTTGCGGAGTTTCCCGCTTGCTACTAAGTTCTCTAAGTCTGTTTATGTGCACGCTTGCTGGTCTGCATGTCTGTCTGAGTGCTTGATGGCTTGAGTGTGTGTGTGACCCGCAAGGGCACTTGTTCGTTCGTTGGGCCCTCAGGGCCGGTACTTACCTGTGGCCGTGACATTGAGGATTGCAGCGGGGGAAAACACTCAAGTGGCGGGGGAAGAGGCCCCAACACTTGAAGCCACGCGGAAACACTCAAGTAGCAGATAGGCCGGTACCACACCCTGAGAAGGTAGATGTGCCGGGAACTCTGAGGCCGAGCAGAAGAAGACAAAAGTGGCATTTTTAGAGGCCCAGAAGTTGTAGGCTAGGTCTAGGTGGGTACCAGTCCAACCAGTCTGAGTCTAGGGCCTGTACGGGCAATATCAGAGTCTGCAATGATGTTTCCCTCCGAAACGGAGGAGGTACCGGTTGCTTGGAAGGCCGAGCGGCCTGGAAGTCACCGCCCAAGAGGCAAGCAAGCCGCTGTATATCCCGGCCAGGTGAAGAGCCCAGCCGCATTGTCGGTGTGCAAGTTTGGCAACACACTGGTTGGAGCGCTGCCTGGAGCAGCGCTAGCATTCAGTAGCGCTGCTGGGGAAGGAGCAGGGACACGGAGGAGGAAGAAGGCCAGGGCTATGGAGGAGCGCCAGAGGTACTTACCTGGCTATGGTGGCAGCCATCTTCATCACCTTGGTGGGCGCTGCAGCAGGAAAAGAGCTACACCAAGAAGCTTCGAGGCAGAGCTAGGCATGGCGGCCTGAGCTAGAGCAGCCATAGCTGCTTTGCGTTGTCCTTTGGACATCAGGGCCAGGCCCAAGTAGTCCGCCATAGCCTCGGCCTATGAGAGTGAAGAGTGAGGGAGGCGACCATGGCTATGGTGGACCTCAAGTGATACCTGCAGTAGAAGAGGGATTCGGACTTTGATTCTGGTTCAGCCATTCAACATTGTATTATTATTTCTTGTGTGAATAAGAGAGGGGGAGATAAGGAGGAGGAGAGTGTTTTGGCGAAGAAGAAGAGCTTTGTCATTTGTCTATGTTGGTGTACATCATCTCCGTCTTCTTCCTTACTTCTTCTTCTTCTAACCTTCTCTCTCCTCTCAAGTTCATTCATTTCTTTCTGCAATTGGACGGCATTGTATTATCTGATGAATGTGTATCTCGAAATTGGCCAGGATCATAACACTTGTATATGAGAAATTGCGTGCGAACTTTCTGTGTATGTGTGCTGGTTTTTGGGAGTTGTATCATTGAGGTTCTTTGCAATACTAAGTTAAAAAAGAAAAGAGCAGTAAGTTCCCTTTCCAAAGCAAGAGTAGCAATGTGCGCCAAAAGGTTATGAGTGGAAATTTAGAAAACAATAATTCAAAATATTTGCTGAACGGATTTTGCATCTCAATCTTGTCCCTGGTCCCGGTCCAAGAGTCCCAACGGTCCCAGTACCATGTAAAGTAACCGAATCGGATGGCCCAGCAGCCAACGCGCCGAATTTAGGCCCAGTAGGTCGATTGGAAGCCTTAGGTGATGAGAAGGCAGGTAGGCCCGGTACCCAACAAGAAAAGTCCAAGTCCCAGTCTATTTTTGGCAGCCACATCCTAGGAAAGTCCAGTGGGTTCTGGAACTGGCAAAAGTGCAGCCGGCAGGCCCTGGAAGACCATTACCGGTCTGGAGTCGACAAAGATCTCAATTCGGCCGCTACTTACGCAGCTAAAGTACTTCTGGAAACTCACTTGTCAATTCACATGTTGTGGAAGCGCTGTAGACTTGTGTGATGGGTCGAGGAGACTGGTAGGGCAGATGTAGCTGGCGCTGGGGCATCATAACTAGGACTAGTAAGGAGGAAGACAACACCATAGATGACAGGGTTTTGAGAGTCGAGTGCATTCAGAGAGTGAGAATGCCGCATACCAATATAGTGCAGACCAAAACCAAGAACCGACCTCTCACAGATGTAGTAAGCACAGCACAGCGGAAGACTGAAATACCAAGAATCAGACCCAATTGCAAGGAACATGAGTATGGACGAAGCACAGAAATCCAGAATGCAAAATCACACTGAAGTCCAAGTATTCAAAGCCAAAGCACATAGCACATGGAACCGAGTAACCATCCAATTGAGAATGATACAGAAGAATCGTGAGTCAATGTCCATGCCCAACAGGGCAACACCAACAGCATAACCCAAATGTAGCTCTCTCTT